AATAATAATAATAATAATAATAATAATAATAATAATAATAATAATAAAATAAATAACAAAATAATAAAAATATAAAAATAAACCAAGGCAGATGGTATTTAAGTAATGACACACTCAAGACTGACTTCTGGTTTCCAAACATACATGCACGCATATGCATACATGATTACAAACATATATGTACACACCTATATACACAAAGGAAAGATGTGTAAAGTTATATTTGCTTAAAATGCAAAGTTCTAAGTTAGAAACACCATAGCTCACCATTGAGACTGAGTTTTCTTTTTTCTACTTTCCTGAGTAGGTAAGTAGGTGAGTATCAGCCCAGGGCTGCAGAAGCCCAGATGTATTTGTGTGTATGTATTTGTATGTGAGTGTGTGCATGTGTGTTTGTGTGTGTGTGCATGTATGTTTGTGTGTGTGAGTGTGTGCGTGTGTGCGTGTGTAAGTCTGGGAGTGGTGTAGCCTGGTTGTGGGGTGGTGTCATCCCTGGGATGGCAGGCCTGGGTTCTATAAGAAAGCTGGCTGAGCAAGCCATGGGAGCAAGCCAGTAAGCAGCACCCCTCCATAGTTTCGGCATCAATCCCTGCCTCCAGGCTTCTGCTGTGTGGGTTCCTGTTCTGACTTCCTTCAACGATGAACAGTGACAGTTCAGCCAAATAAACTGTTTTCTCCCCAAGTTGCTTTGATCATGGCGGTTCATCACAGCAATAGGAATCCTACCTAAGGCAATGGGCGTTAGCAACCTGAGCCTGGGAGCTGGATAGACAGCTCAGTGGTTAAGAACACTTACTGCTCTTGCAGAGGACCTATGTTCAGTTTCCAGCATACACAACCATCTGTAACTCAATTTCCAGAAGATCCAACACTGTTTCTGTCATCTTCAGGAACCAGGCATGTTCATAGTACACAGACATACATGCAGGCAAACACTCATACACATAAAATAAAAATAACGCTACCTTTTAAAGAAATCCGAGACCGACATGGTGTGTGTGTGTGCGCGCGCGCTTGCGCATGTGTGGTAAGTGCTCAAGTGTTCAGATCCCAGAGAACATAGGAAAGAACTTCCTGGCCCATTTAGTGACAAGTTAGAAACATAGTTTTGGCATAAAACATGATGCACGTGATTTCTTGTTAATTGTTTTTTTTGAGAAGTAAAAGCAGCTGTGTCCTGGTTCATATGGCAGGCTCCATGGTGATATACCCAGGGGCAGACAAATGCTTGAGCCATACATAAGCACATCAGGGTGGAGATGGGGGGGCAGGGTTGGTTAGGCCTCTGGTGTCCAGACCCCTCTTTGTACCACCAATTCCAGAGCTCAGCCTGTGTGTAAAAGGGACGGTGAGGACAGTAATGGGACCTTCCCTGCCCTGCCATGGTGTCAGGTCAGGGGTGCCCATGTTGTACCTGGGTTTTAGTGATGTTTGGAGTGGGTGGGGATTCTAATGGCATTTTAACATTTTGAATATGAAAGTGAGTGTTTTAGTGGCACTGGCTCACACTCCATTTCTGTGCAGGTAAGATAGTGTGTTAGGCCACTGTCCCACTTTCTATCTTCAGGAAGGTGAAGGCTGGGGAGTCTGAGGTCAGCAGGAAAGTGTTTCCCCTTCTGTCTCAGGACAACGCCCAGTGTTGTCTGCCTGCACCAGGTGTGTGGGGTGCATTCACCTGCATACAAGTGGCTCTTGTGACCACTGTCAAATTCATCATAGACTTCCTGGAGTGTTGGTGGTCCACACAGTGCTGTTAAGTATTTCTGAAGGTTCTTTCTGTCCCAACTTGGAGCAGCTTCTGTCTGTGGTGAGTTTCAAATGAAGCTCAGCAAACAGGCTCTTCCCAGCAGAAATGGCACTTACTGAAAGTGTGACTGTGTATGCATACATGTGTACACATGTGTGCCCAATCTCCATAGCAAGAGCTATAGGTTGTGTTGAAAAGAACCTTTTCCCCGACTTGTTAAAACCATGTGTTAAAATAGTCTTTGGTGACCTGGTTTCTGAAAATTGGATCCTGCCCGGAGGTGAGAAAACCGGGGAAAGTTTGAAGCAAATTTATGTGGCTGTTTTCTGGGGTTAGCAGGATGGAAAAAACCGTAAAAATGAGCTTCACATTTCTCTGGTTTTCTTGGAATGTAAAAGCAGCTGAGTTAGTCTCACGCTGCAGATGTTCTTCTGAGCTGGAATATAGGTCTGTGGAAGAGGTGAGCATACACAACGGTTTACAGGCGCTGCCACCTACAACGGGATGGGCAAGTGTCCATGCTCCAGTCCTGCCCTGCATCCAGTCTCTCTGTCTCTGCTGTCTCTCTATATGTCTCTGTCTCTCTGTCATTATTCTGTCTGTCTGTCGTCTCTCTGGCCATACTGGGGACTGAACCTCAGGCTCCATGCCCATTTCTGCTTTTTGTTTTTTAGACAAGGTCTCTCTATACTGCTCAGACAGGTCTTAAACTTGTGATCCTCCTGCCTCAGCATCCTGACTAGGGCAGGCCCGAGTCACTAGGCCCAGCTCATCCTTTTAGCAGAAGGTCTAAGCTTATTCATCCGACTCTTCAGTTTTGAAAAGTTTCTGAAAACCCATCATTCAAAATGCACACTCATGACATTGTATTTCTTAGAAATAACTTTTTTTTGAGATAGTGTCTCCTATAGCCCAGGCTAGCTACAACCTCACTATATACCAAGAATAACCTTGAACTTCTTACCCCTTTGCCTTTCCCTTTGAGTTCGAGATAACTGGCCTATGTCAGTATAAACATTTTGTGAAGTACTGGGGTTAGAACACACTGCCTCATGCACACTGGGCAAGCCTCTGTCACCTGAGCTTCAGTCACAGCTTGGACCTGAGTAGTATCTGAGGAGCCCTTACTTTGCCTGTGTGCACTAATTGTGGTTCACAGACAATTTCACTATGCTCATGATGTTCTTGTGAAATACTTTACTGTTCCAGTTTTATATACAAAGCACTGGAGCCACAGAGACCTGCTGTGACTTGCTGAAGACCATGCAGATAGTTAATGGTCACTGCCGAGCCTTAGATAGTCAACTGTGCTGACACACGGCTGATGAATATTAAAACCCGGCAGCTGGAGAGCCGGCTCAGCAGTTAAGAAGGCCCAGGTTCAGTTCCCAGCACCCCATGGTAGCTCACAACCATCTGTAACTACTCCACCATCTCCTGTGGGCACTATACATACACAGTACACATGTGTGTGCACATACCTACAGGTAAAACACTTATACACATGAAATAAAAAGGAAAAATCCTTATTGCTTTTTCTGTACTTTCTTTTTGGTAGAGCAGGGATCACATGAAAGGCCTGGCGTGTACGAGGCAAGCCCCCTCCTCCCGAGACATGCACATCTCTTCACTGCAGTCCGTTTTAGCGTGTTCATGATCTGTGTGTGGGGAGCATGTGTGGTCAGAGCACAACTGTGTGGAGTTGGTTTTCTCCTTCCACCTTCCCAAGGGTTCAGAACTCACACTGCCAGGCTTGCAGAGTTGGGGACAAGGACTTCTACTCACTGAGCCACTTGCTTGTCCTTTATTGCAGTTAACAAGTTGTCTGTGCATGTGTTTGTGTATGATGTGTGTATGTGTGTATGATGTGTGTGTATGTGTGTATGTATGTGTGTGTATGTGTGTATGTGTGTGTGTATATGATGTATGTGTATGTGTGTGTATGTGTGTATGTGTGTGTATATGTGTGCATATGTGTGCATATGTGTGTGTATGTGTGTGTGTATGTATGTGTGTGTATGTGTGTGTATGATGTGTGTGTGTATGTGTGTGTATATGTGTGTGTATGTGTGTATGATGTGTGTGTATATGTGTGTGTATGTGTGTGTGTGTATGTGTGTGTATGTGTGTGTGTGTGTTCGTGCATGAGTGCAGCTCCATTGTACCACTAGGGATGTGTAGAAGTTAGAGGACGATGTTGAGTGCTGCACCTCAGGTTCCACCTTGTTTGGGGAAGGTTTCTTGTTCACTGCTGTGCTTCAGGCTGGCTGGTCTTCCAGTTTCTAGGGGTCCTCCTGCCTCTGCCGCTTGTCTCTCCAAGGTTATAGGTGCATGCTACCACTCGTGGCTTTATGTAGGTACTGGGATTTGAACTCAGCTCTTCATGCTTGCACAGAGGGTGCTTTACCTATTGAACCATCTCCCTAGGCCTAGTGCAGTTTTATAAATAAGAATTTAGCAGCTGGACATAAGGAAGAAACATCATAACAGCGAAGCTGTGTTAATTCACGTGTTTAGTTAATCAGTGGAATAACTAAAGCTGTTTTCTAGTGAAACAGACTAGCAAGCTGAGTCTCTTAAATTGGGACCAACATGTCAACCAGTTAAAGATCTTGACATCACAAAAGGTTGAGAAGATGCTGTTTTTCTGTGACATAAATTTGACTGTAAATGGTATGCTAAGGGTGTCCAACCTTTTGGCTTCATCTGGGCCATATCACCTAAGAAGTTCACACTTGAGGACTGAAAAAATTGAGTTATGAAGAGAAATTGAAAAAAGCTCCATAGTCCTCAAGTTAGCTTATGATTTTGTCTTGGGCTGCATTCATAGGCAAACGTACATGGGTTGGATCTTCCAGAAAGATGAAATTAGATACTTGATGTCAAGTCTAAGACATCAGAAGGCTTTGGTGCGGACAGCCCGGTTTTTTTCTAAGGCTCCTAGAAGTGTACATGACAGTTCCTTTTGGCTTCTACATGCTGTCCGCAGGGTGTGGGAATGTGGGTTTACCCAGCTGGTGTTTTCCATCCTTGGATGGAAGTCAGCTGAGTATCTCACTGTTGTAGGATCTAGTAGGCGAGGAGGCCCTGGCTGAGGACAGGAACGTGATTGCCCGAGTCTGGTGGACCTGGCAGGGCAGTGAGGACGAGATTTGGATTCTGGTCATGAAGCGTGCCCTTGCCATAAGGGTGTGTTCCGAGACACACTTGTGAGCTCACCTCCTGTCCTTCTCTTTGGGCCGCCCCTCTACAGCACAGACCCTGGATTGTCATGGTCTATGGAATGTGTGCCTGCTGGTGTGTACTGGGGGCTCCAGGCGTGGTCATGGTCCTTCTCCACACCACCATCGCCTTCTGCGTGGCGCAGTTCCGATCAATGCTCCTGTCCTGGCTGTGCTCTCTCCTTCTACTCTCCACCCTGAGGCTGCAAAGTGTGGAGGAAGTTAAGGTAAGTGTCTTCCTCCTGCCTATCTTACCACACGGAAGGGGAAGGTGTCTTGGCTTCTGATCCGGTAGCCTCCTCCTCCATACAAAGCAGGAGTAGCCCCTCCATGGGGCTCCACCTAGTGGCCTTACAGGATTATTGCAGCACTCAGCTCCGTACACAGCAGCGGTAGTCCCTCCATGGGGCTCCACCTAGTGGCCTTGCAGGATTATTGCAGCACTTACCTGTGTTCAGCAGTCATGGGTCTGTTGTCTGAGTCCTGTGAGGTTGTCCAGGGTCACCTTTTTTCTCAGTTTGGATGTTAACAGAGGATGGCAAATGTCATGGGACCTGAGGGCTAGAAACAGAGCCATCCCATTTCTATATTCTTAAATATACATGTTGAGTGCACTGTTTCTTAGGGACCTTTTACCTTCCTTATGACACACAATGTCCACAATGGTCCCAAGACAAGTACTTTTATTCTTAGTTGATAGAATAGGGTTAATAATTATCTACTCATATAGCTGATCACAGAAACGCTTTGTATAGAAGGTGAGAAAAGCACATTTTTGTTTTGTTTTTGTTTTTATTTGTTTGTTTTGTCTTAAGGTCACAGACCAAACCTTGATGTTGTGCCATGGCATCCTGACAGACATGATTGTTTGTCAGTTGTGTGTTTGATGGCGGTGGATGTTGGGCAAGTGGCAGGCTGTATGGCTGTTGAGTGGTTAGTTATGTATATAGCCTGCCAAGTCCCTTGTGGACCAAATCAAGATTCTTTTCCTGGTTTCGAATCTTGTATATAGAGGGTTGGACCTAGGGTCCCCCACATGCAAGGCACATGCTCTACTGCCCGCCACAGCTACGCTGCCTGCTGTGGTTGCCACTGGGATTTACATGACAATCTCTTGTTCTCAAATCTCGTTCTATGTAGCTTCTCTCCTAGGAGAAGCCATTTAGCCCAGGTTCCCCAGCCAGCTCCTGTGTCAGGAGCTGGTGGCATCTTGCCACTAACCCACAGACTGTTCCTTCTTGTCGCTCTTGCAGAGAAGATGGTTCAAGACAGAGGATGAGTATTACCTGCTGCAGTTCACGCTCACTGTCCGCTGCCTGTATTACACCAGCTTCAGCCTGGAGCTGTGCCGGCAGCCTCCGTCTGCCCAGCGAATCTTCTATTCCTTCCCATGGCTGCTGACGTACGTCTTCTATTACCCCGTCTTCCACAACGGGCCCGTCCTTACCTTCCCGGAGTTCTTCAGACAGGTAGAGTCCTCTGGAGACTGGGCTGGTGAAGGTCCCTATCTCTTAGACTGTGGGATGTGACCCCAAATGGAGTTGCATATTGAATGTGGGGTTCACAAAAGTTTGGGAACAGTAAAGGGCTTGCATTATCTTGAACATAGAGTAGAAAGTGGCTGAAGTGTGGTTACAGCTGTTTTGGACTATGACATCCTTCGATGCCAGACACCTCGCTCAGATTTCAGGCTGTCCTGTATTACGAGTTGCAGGTTTTGAAGAAACAGAATGGTTTAATTACAGAAAACAAAGACATTAATATCTTCCTGCATTCTATCCCAGCATGTGAGTTCTGAGTTAGTGTCTCTGGGTTGGCTTGTGTTAGGATGTTTGACTTTACATTTTTTGTTTATGTATTTGTGTGTGCGCGCGCGTATGTATGTGTACATGTGTGTGCATGTGCTTGTGTGTGTGCACGTGCAGGCATGCATGTGCTACGGTACGTGTGTGGAACACAGAGGACCTCTGTGAAAGATCTGTATCTCCTATCCCGTTACAGGATCCTGACACTGAATTCAGTCTGTGAGGTTTGTGTGTAAGTGCCTCTACCCACTGAGCCACCTCACAGGCCCAAGTGTGCCCACCTGACAGGCCCGAGTGTGCCCACTGAGCCACCTGACAGGCCTGAGTGTGCCCACCTCACAGGTTCTTGTGTACCCACTGAGCTACCTCACAGGCTCGAGTGTTTGATTTGAAAAGCCGCCATTTGATTTGACAATTAGAATTGCCTTAAAAAAAAACATTAAATAAATTTTGACTCTGGGACAGAATTTTCAACAGATTCTGAAGTGGTCCTAGAGATACTCCTGTAGGTCCAACTTACCAGAGGAATTCTTACCTAAACCCTGGATATGTGAATATGAAATAGGCAAAAATATCAAGCTTTTACTATGAACAAATCATAAAACACACTTCCTTTAAAACAATTATTTGATATACACACACTTTTACCATTTATCCAAGATTAAAGCAAATTTGCATAATAATGAGGTGGATGAATTTACACAGGACGAAGCCACCACCGAGCGTCTGACAGGACACACTTTCTGAGTTGATTGACATTTTGAATTTGTAACCATCAGTGGCGAGAAGGCTGTTTTGAGTCAGTCAGTAAGGAACCCCACTGTAGCCTGGACTTGGGGTGTTTGCCATGCTCACCTGTGACATGTGTGTCTCCCCACTTAGGTGTGCTGCCGATCGGAGCACACACTATTGTCTGAATAACCTAAAGGTGGACGGTTTCTCCTGGGTGGGTGAGAGGGACCTGATTCTCGGGGGACAATGGCTACAGTGAGTTTCAGGAGCAGTTCCACTGCAGGGAAGGCCCAGGGACAGGAAGCTGGATCCTGATATTTCACTTGAGCTAGTAGGAAGAGATGGCCTTGCTTGCTGCTCAGCAGTTGGCCTGCTCTCTCCTTTCTTATTCACAGACTGCTCTCGGGGTGGCCCTGACTGGGCTTCAGATTGTTCTGGGCCAAGTGAGAAAGCAAACCGAATTGAAGGATGTTTACGGGTGATGGTATGCTCTCACCCTGCAGGGGCCTGACACCTTCTCCACCCAGCATTCTTGTCTAGATGTCGGGCCACGTCTGTCCTTGCACTTCCCCCTCCCTCTAATGTACTGAGACATCCTTGAAGAATTTAGCTCACGCGTTAGTACTTAAAACAGTGGTTCCTCAAGGGTCATTGCCTCCTCCCAAGCACAGACATCTTGAAGAGACTATGTATAGACACACATAAACATACATGTCTACACAACACATGCATATAACACATGTATAACACACATACACATGACACACCCAGGCACACACAGATGTACACACAACACAAGGATGCACATGTGTATACATACAATGAATTCTTATACTCATATAAAACATACATGTATACAAACACAACACACATGCTGGCATGTATGTGGAGCACATGTGTGCATGCACACATATAGCACATACACACATATGTAACACATTGCTTGCACTTATGTATAGCTCACAACATGTATACACACATACAGCACACACACATATCTGTAACACATTGCCTGCATTTATATATAGCTCACAACATGTATACACACATACAGCACACACACATATCTGTAACACATTGCCTGCACTTATGTATAGCTCACAACATGTATACACACATACAGCACACACACATATCTGTAACACATTGCCTACACTTACATATAGCTCACAACATGCATGCACACATGCAGCACACACATGCATGTGCTCACATATAGTCTACACATGCATGCACACAGAACATGCATGTATGTGTCTGTGAGGACAGGGCCATAGGTGTTGCTGTTTCTGGGACAATTTGAAAGATGCCCAGTGAAGAAAAAGAAAGGTTCTTAGAAAATGCTTATTTTATCTTAAAAATTCCAGAGCTGTTAGTTTATCCAAAAGCCTGTGTTTATAGCAATAGCATCAGTCTAGAATTGCAGGGTAAGGCCTGTCCTTCCCACTTAAGAAGTCCTCCAGTGTCGCTGGTGCTCCCGGCTGCGGTGGGCTTGCTATACCGTTTCTCACACCCTGGTTGGTTCCTGAGGATCACTCTTTGATTATGAAGTGATTTTAGGTCTGCATTTGAGATTGTGTTTTAGATTATAGGTGGCTTAGTGTTGGCACATGACCTCAAAGTATGGTTCCTGTCTGTAGCACCATCAGGGAATGAATATGATATGAGTTCTCAGGCCCTGCCCCAGGCCTCAGGCCTATGCCCATCCAGGCCTTTGGGTTGGAGCTGAGCATTGTGGCATGCCAGGTGCCTTGAGGGTGGCTTTTGCATTTGAGGGAGGCTGAGAACTGTGGGGAAAATTTAAGAAGGCCGCCACAGCGGCGCGTGGCGGGTCCCACATTAGGGAGGGAATCCTATGGTTCCAGCGGCCTGAGGGCCTTGGCGGCGGCAGGCCCCAGTAACATGAGGAAGTCCTTGGTTCCAAAAAGGTTTATTGTCATGACAGATAATAGATGGATCTAGGCGTACCCCCCAAAAACTCAGGGCAGTCCCGAGTTATATAGGGAGGGAGAAAGGGGGAGGATTGGGGGAGGATCTGGGGGAGGCATGTTTAATTTGCTCTGCCCTCTGGCCTTCATTAGTATGTAAATCCCTAGGGCCTGAGGCCTATAGCCTGGCCTATGTAGTAACTCTATGGAGACTGTGACCGCTTTTTCAGGATCCTGGGTTCTGGGGGGTGTCGAACTCCTGTCGGTTCTCATGTAGAATCTCGCCCAGAATCTACAGAGTCTCGAAGTTCTAGACACCTGATCCACCATGATCTAGGATACCCTTAAGCAGTCCCACAGAGAACTACTGTCTTGAGTCTGTCAGAGGCGTGGGGTGGAGGCAGGGCTGGCACAGGATTGGTGGGGTCAGCCCTTCCTATCTTGCCTCTCGAAATTTCCTTACCATTGTGAACGTGGCTCCTTCCCGAGTTTCCAGCCAATAACTTTTGAACAAAACCTCGGTCCCATTCTTCCTCTGGGATGAATAGTAATTCTTAGATTCACAGACTAAAGCCATTCAGAGGAAACAAACGCTTTCCCCAGCCGGGTCATGTACCTGGGAACCTGCCCAGTGGGACCTGCACTTTGTAGGGATGCAAAGTCATTCTTATATTTCTCTTCTTTCCAACTGCAGCCAAACAGGAGCAATAGGAAGGAGCGTGTAGTCAGGTCTTAGGTCTGGTTCTTGGAAGCAGACTTTGAGGTCATGGTTCACTCAAACCTTTAGCCAAGGACTGCCTGTCTGTTGAGCATCAAACTGGGGAGAATGGGTGGCCTCACCCTGTAGGGTCAGGGTCTTCTCGGGTCTTAGTTCTTTCTTTCTTACCTGTTCTAGTTGCTGAGGTTAGGGACTTTGGAATGGCAAATCAAAACCTTCCTCTATGGTCTGCCCATGCTTATTAAAGTCATCCCAGAAAAATTAAATGCCCAATAAGCCACAGGACAAAATCGAGACTAAATAAAAAGCCAGGCAGGGTCTGGAAGTGTCGTTCAGTGGGTAGAGCCTTGCTCTGTAAATGTGAGACCCGAGTTCAGATCCCCAGAGTCCACACAAAGCCAGACATGGTAATGCGCACCTGCCATGCTAAGGCTCAGCAGAGCCCCTGGAAGCTCACAGGCCAGCTGGACCTGCGTGCACAAAAGTGAACAAAAGTCTCCTTCGCAAGGTGAAAGGCCAGTGCCGACACCTGAGATTGTCTTCTGACTTCTACCTGTGCTTTGTAGCACGTAATTCCTGCACTCACACGGAGGTGCACACTCACCTCACACGCATTATACACACCTAGAGTAAAAAGGCACTCGATTCCTGCGTTTGCTGAGGATGCTGGTGGGTGCTCGCATCCTCTGGAAGAGGGAGGAGGCTACAAAGGTAATCTTAGAGGGAAAGACCAGGAAGAAAGGAGGATGGAAAAGCAATAATGGAAGAACTCTGGAGTGCTTGAGTGAATGAGCATGAGGAGGCTTCACCACCAGGGGGCAGCAGCGTCCTACATGGAAATAAACTCAGCAGGGATGAGCAGGATGGATATGGGAATCTGAAACTTCAAATATTAAACAAGAGAGGAACATCCCTGCAGCACACATCTGTTACTCCAGTTTTTAGCACATAATTTACACACACAAACTAGGGAAGTGTGGAAGAGGTGTCCTCTATACTCTAAAATTTTCATTCATCGAACAAACGAGACATTTTACCTACTACCTGGCCTCCTTGAAGGCCATTTCTGACGTGTGGAGGGTCGGGAACCCAGGCTTTAGCTAGTTTCCCGCTGTACTCCTGGGAAGTTCGGATGCTGAGCTGCTGTGAGGCTGAGTCCAGCAGGGCAGAGGGCTCTTCCTCCAGCAGATGTACTGGGGGTGGGGAGCAGATGGGGTTGCAGGGTGAGCGGTTCATCTTGGGACTTCCCTTACCAAGGTCTGGTTTCCCACCCTGGAGCCCAGTTCTGGGTTCAAATCCCTGATCTGCCTTTGGTGAGTTAGCTTTTCTGCGGGTTGCTGGGGTTAGCAGATGGGGAGAGTGTGGTTCCATGGCACATGGGTGTCATTATGCTTACTATTGCTGCTGGTTTGATTTGAACAAGTGGCATGTTCAGGGGACGTGTAAGCTAGTTCAGAGGCCCCTGTATCCAGCCTGGTGGGCACCCCAGCAGAGGGGGCTGAGCTGTATTCAGCCTGGTGGGCACCCCAGCAGAGGGGGCTGAGCTGTATTCAGCCTGGTGGGCACCCCAGCAGAGGGGGCTGAGCTGTATCCAGCCTGGTGGGCACCCCAGCAGAGGGGGCTGAGCTGTATCCAGCCTGGTGGGCACCCCAGCAGAGGGGGCTGAGCAGTGGCCATCTTTGGCCTCTTTGTGCTGGGATGCTGGAAGGGACCAGAGAATCACTGCAGGCAGGATGGGCATGACATAGAGTGGTCGGCAGGCACAGGGCAAGAGGGAGGTGTTGGCATCTTAGCAGTGCCATGGAGACTCAGGGGTTTCCAGGTCGGGAGACAGCCCGAATGACACTGTTCTGTAAAGATCAAATCAGTGCTACAGCTTTTCATTCATGTTATCTTCAAACCCTGAGAGAGACTAGAGAGCAGATGGAAGCAAAGACAGGTGTGTGGAAGGCAGGTGGGGAGGACGGAGTGAAGACAGGAGCGAGGATGGTGGGCAGGGAGGAGGACGGAGTGAAGACAGGAGCGAGGATGGTGGGCAGGGAGGATGGAGTGAAGACAGGAGTGTTGGAACTGGTGCTGGAGCTTGGTTGTCAGAGTGCTTACCTAGCATTCCTGAGGCCCTGGTTTAATCCCCAGCATCACATCATAGCTCAGGCCTGGAATCCTGCCACTTGTGGGGTGGAGACATGATGATCAGAAATTTAAGATCAAGGGCTGGGAAGATAGTTCAGTAGGTAATGTGCTTGCTGTGCAAACATGGGGACTTGGGTTTGAATCCCCACAACACACATAAAAGCTGGGTGTGCCAGTGCACCTATGTAACCCTGGTGCTTGGGGTGGCGGTGGGGCAGGTGAACCCTGGTGTTTGATGGATCAGTGTGGCCCTAATAGCAGCTCCAGGTGCAGTGAGAAGCTCTGACTCAGTCAATTGATCAGTCAGTCAGTCAGTCAACCAATCAATCAGGTCAAGAGTGACAGAGGAAGACATTGGATATTGGACTGTGGTTTTCATGGGTACACACACACACACACACAGAGAGAGAGAGAGAGAGAGAGAGAGAGAGATGCACAGGCATGAGCGCTGGCAAGCACAATTCAAGACCAACTTTGGCTACATGTAGCATTTAGGATATTGCCTTGAAAAAAGAAAAAAAAAAGACAATCTTGCTATGCCTACTTGGTGTGACAGGAACTAAAGAGGATAGAATGTGTCTGGCGGGCATAAGGGACAACCTGTGTGTTGCCACCCCTTTGGAGGGTCAAATGACCCCTTCATAGCGGTCACATATTAGATACCCTGAATATCAGATATTTACATTGCAATTATTAACAGTAGCAAAAATACAGTTAGGAAGTAGCAACTAAATACTTCTGTGATTGGGGGTCACCACAACATGAGGAACTGTGTTAATGGCTCGCCATAGCATTAGGAAGGCGAGAATACTACACTAGAGGCTCCGGCTGCCCAGATCTGGTTCATGACAGCTGTGCCAGCTGCCAGTTTGGTGTACTTCCTGGGAGAGAGGAATGGACATCACCGGCTCTGCTGCGGGTGGCTGGGCTGGGGCCATCAATGCTGGGCCCGAGTAAGAAGCATTTCATGGAGAGGAGATTAGGGACTTGGGCAAACCACAGAGAAGGCACTCCAGCTCTGAAGGAGCAGAGGGTGGGTACATGTGTTCCTGGGCCCCGCAGACAGACATCCTGACCCAGGAAAGGCCTTTGCTGCTTTCAGGCATATGTATGGCTCCCGTGCAAAGGACAAGAACCTTTCATCTCTGACAACTGCCATCTTCAGTCTTCACAGCATCACTGAGGGAGAAAGACGACATTCCCTTTTATGCAATTTGCATGAAATGAGATTTTAAATCGTAATGCATTTTAAAGTACACTTGGCAGACGAGCTAATGCGTGTTTTTCGGCGGCGTCTGAGCTTGAAATCCCACCGCGGCAGTTTCCGGGGATCTTAAGGTTGACAGTCCCCTCAGTTGGAAGTGCCTCAAATGGAATGCTCTCTGTGCAGCATTGAGGATGAGCACTGCGTAGCAGCCCGTCCCTCCTGTTGAGAGGCAAGGGACAAATGACGTGCAATAAGAGACTCCACTACATCTAAGTGTAAGTGGACTGTCAGGATTACCAACCTTCCAGAAAGGCACATGTGCGTGCACACGCATGTGTGCGCACGCACATGTGTGTGAGTGTGCGTATCATGTGTGTATATGTGTGTGCACATGTGTGTGAGTGTGCATATCATGTGTGTACGTGTGTGTGTGTGTGTATGCATGTGTGTAGGAGCCAACACTTTTTGTTTTAAGATGAGGTCTCTTGCCAGCAGCTTACCATGTAGGATAAGCTGAGTAGTCATATCTCTGATGCTCTTGTTTCTGCCTCCTCAGTTCTGGGATTAGAGTGTGTGTTATCATGCCTGGCTTTTTATATGGATTCTGAGGATCATGCTTGGGTCCTGTGTATTTGACTAGACTTTGAGTTACTCAACCATCTCCTCAGCCCTGAATAAAAGCCTTCCTATTTTCTTCTTTAGAAAAGAGTGACTTTTCAGGGGAGTTGGGTAATGAGCTTCTCCTGGGTGCACCTGTGGCTGTAGGAGATGCTCTGTCCTTCCTGGCAGAGGTGACACAGACATATTCCTCAAAGAAGAGTAGGGGACAGTTAGGCTACCAGGAAGTAGGAATGTTGTCATCACGAAGCTTTCGCTTCGTAGGTATTTGTGTCATTTTGAACTGCCTGTGGCTTGGGGACACCTAGCAGAGCCTCCAATGGCAAGCTGGGGAGGTGGATTTCCTGCCATCACCCATATGTTGTCTCTGCTCACCAGGTTGGTAGTGTATACTGGCAAGGTCCTGGCACTCCAGATGCACACTGGGCTTTTGGGGACTTGGGCTGCAGGCTAAGTGCACAGCACCTGTTAGAAGCTGGGCAGATTCGGCTGTGTGTGAGAACGGCGATGTGGCAACAAACCTCTGGAGGCTGTTAGCACGTTCATCTAGACAGGATGCTTCAGTGTGCCAGTGTGCAGCACCAAGCAAGCCCAACTTCAGCTAGAGTGTCTTAGTGAGGTGACCCCGCACAGTGAGGTGACCCCGCACAGTGAGGTGACCCCCACATAGTGAGGTGA